AATTGGGTATCAAAGGAATGTATTGCAAAATAATAAAAGCTATTTATGACAAACCCACAAACAATATACTGAACAGGAAAAAACTGGCACAAGACAAGGATGCCCCTCTCTCTCCATTCCTATTCAGTATAGTATTGGAAGTTCTAGCCAGAGCAATCATCAAGAAAAAGAAATAAAGGGTATTGAATTAGGAGAAAAGGAAGTAATGTTGTCTCTATTAGCAGATGACATGATTGTATATTTAGAAGACCCCATCATCTCAGCCCAAAATCTCCTTAAACTAGAACAAAGTCTCAGGATACAAAATCAATGTGCAGAAATCACAAGATTCCTTTACACCAATAACAGACTAACAGCCAAATCAAGAGCTAACTCCAATTCACAATTACTACAAAGAGAATAAAATACCTGGGAATACAACTAACAATGGATGTAAAGGAACTATTCAAGGAGAATTACAAACCACTGCTCAAGGAAATAAGAGACGACACAGATGGAGAAACACTCCATGCTCATGGTTAGGAAGAAACAATATTGTGAAAATGGCCATACCGACCAAAGTAATTTATAGGTTCAATGCTATCCCTGTCAACCTACCAATGACCCTCTTCACAGAACTGGAAAAACCCACCTTAAACATATGGAACCAAAAGAGAGCCCGCATAGCCAAGACAGTCCTAAGCAAAAAGAACAAAGTGGGAGGCATCATGCTACCTGACTTCAAACTATACTACAAGACTACAGTAATCAAAACAGCATGGTATTGGTACCAAAACTGAGATAGAGACCAATGGAACAGAACAGAGGCCTCAGAGGCAATGCTACACATCTACAACCATTTGATCTTTGAGAAACCTGACAAAAACAAGCAACGTAGAAAGGATTCCCTGTTCAATAAATGGTGTTCAGAAAACTGGCTAGCCATATGCAGAAAAGAGAAATTGGACTTTTTCCTGACACCTTACATGAAAATTAACTCCACATGGATTAGAGACTTAAACATAAGATCTAACACCATAAAAACCCAAGAAGAAAACTGAGACTAAATCATTCAGGCACAGATGTAGGCAAGGACTTCATGACTAAAACACTAAAAGCACCAGCAACACAAGCCAAACTAGACAAATGTGATCTAATTAAACTCCACAGCTTCTGCACAAGCTTCTGCACAGCAAAAGAAACAATCATTAGAGTGAACTGTGAACCAACAGAATGGGAAAAAAATTTTTGCAATCTACACATCTGACAAAGGGCTAATATCTAGAATCTACAAATAACTAAAACAGATTTACAAGAGAAAACAAACAAACTCATGCAAAAGTGAGAGACGGATATGAACAGATTTTTTCAAAAGAAGACATATATGAGGCCAACAAACATATGAAAAAATGCTCATCATCACTGTTCATTAGAGAAATGCAAATCAAAACCACATTGAGATACCATCTCAAGGCAGTTAGAATGGCAATCATTAAAAAATCAGGAGAAAACAGATGCTGCAGAGGTTGTGGAGAAATAGGAACACTTTTACACTGTTGGTGGGAGTGTAAATTAGTTCAACCATTGTGGAAGAAAGTGTGGTGATTCCTCAGGGATCTAGAAATAGAAATTTTATTTGATCCAGCAATCCCATTACTGAATATATATCCAAAGTATTATAAATCAGTCTATTATAAAGACACATGCACAAGTATGTTTGTTGTGGCACTGTTTACAATAACAAAGACCTGGAACAAACCCAAATGTCCATTGATGATAGACTGCACAGGAAAAATGTGTCACATATACACCATGGAATACTATGCAGCCATAAAAATGATGAGTTTGTGTCCTTTGTAGGCACATGGATGAATCTAGAAACCATCATTCTCAGCAAACTGATGCAGAAATGGAAAACCAAACACCACGTGTTCTCACTCAGAGACCAGTGTTGAACAATGAGAACACAAGGACACATGGAGGGGAGCATCACACACTGGGGTCTGTTGGGGGCTATGGGAGGGATAGCAGGGGTTGGGGAGGGATAACATGGGGAGAAATGCCAGATATAGGTGACGGGGGAAGGGAGGCAGAAAGCCATATTGCCATGTATGTACCTATACAACAATCCTGCATGACCTGGACATGTACCCCAGAACCTAAAGTATAAAAAAAAATTCAAATTGTCTTTTTTTGGGATGTCTTTCCTGATTTCACTAGAAAATTCAGAGGCATCTCATTCTGTTTTTGTCATCAATCATTCCCTAGTTATTTATTAGAAGCCTGCTACATGCAGCTACTAGTTTATATTCAATGCAATATTGCTGCAATTTCAATGTTTTGTCAGTATTGCATGTATGGCTTCTTACACTTCAAGCTTCTTGGTGGCAGTGTGTTTCCATCTTTCAACATCTAAGATAATTTCTGTTACATGGTAATTAGTCAATACTATATTGATAATTTCTGTTATATAATACTTGGTAAATCCTATATTGACAGTAAAATATTTGTAGAATGAAAAACTGAAAGAATGAGCAAATGAATGAATGAGTGAATGAATAAATATCCTCCTAATAATGATTATAGGCTCAGATCAAAGCTTTATCCTTACTGGCTGAATTTCCAAACAGTCCTAAGCCCAACAGAATAAATCTAGTGCATACCTCTCTTATAGTCCTTGTTGTATCATTCGTTTTTTTTTTTTTTTTTTTTTGAGACGGAGTTTCGTTCTTGTTACCCAGGCTGGAGTGCAATGGCGTGATCTTGGCTCACCACAACCTCTGCCTCCCGGGTTCAGGCAATTCTCCTGCCTCAGCCTCCCGAGTAGCTGGGATTACAGGCACACACCACCATGCCCAGCTAATAATTTTTTATATTTTTAGTAGAGATGGGGTTTCACCATGTTGACCAGGATGGTCTCGATCTCTTGACCTCGTGATCCCCCCGCCTCGGCCTCCCAAAGTGCTGGGATTACAGGCTTGAGCCACCACGCCCGGCCATCATTCTTTAATTAATAAATATTTACTAAGAGACTATTTTGGTTAAGGCACTGAAAATGCACTCAGACAAATAGAGTCCCTGCTTCCATGAAGTCTCCATTAATAAACAATCACAAATTGTGCTGCTGCAATAATTACTTGTAGAGTTTTTCTATTGGATACTTATATCTCTTAAGGATAGGATGAACTGCAATTTACCTTTGGACCTACATTTTTCAGAGCAAGTTGATACTCAGTTCACCATAATTGGCTACATTCAGATGAACAGACATTTGGTCTAAGTTGGCTGGGTAGAATTACTTAATTATGTATATTAGTAATCTAAATCCTAGTAATTAATAGATAAGAACCACTACTTTATATTTTAGGTGTGGTCTTCTCTGAAATACAGTACACACATAAATTAAAGAAGTTGAAGAACTGTTCACTAGATATTCAATTCCAAGCATCACATTCTACTTTTAATTTGTAAATAAAAGCATTACATACTGAGATTTTTAAGACTGAAAGAAACAAGTTTTTTAAATTTAGAATCAGTTTATTATTTAGAATAATTTAGGATTAGTGAAAGATATTGTGGCTTTCACCAGATGTGCAAATTTGGGGAAAATCACTTAAGCTTTGTTCTCTTTATTTGTAAAAAATGTTATTAATAATGCCTGCTGCAACAACCCCATAAGAAAATTGCAGTAAGTGGAAAAGAAGAGAAAGGGAAAGCTCTTCAAATCTCAAAAGGGCAATGCAAATGAGGGATTTTACTAAAATACAAGCCCCACAGAGGCAAGAATTTTTACTTTTTATTCACTGCTAAATTCCCAGCATCTAGACCAGTATTAGACACAGAGCTGGCACTCTATAAATACTTGTGAAATACCTTCATTACATATTGCTGGCAATAATATATATATTAAAGAATCAAATGATAAAATAATTTTAATAAATCCAAAATGGTTTCCTGCTAATTGCAAATCTCCAAACTAAACCCTAAAACTGCAGATGTTTGAGGAGTTTCTAAATTTGAAAGAAATTTATTTTTTTGGATTAATCAATGAAGAATAGCACTACATTTATGAAATCCAAAAAATTTCCCTGTATAATATTTAATGTGGGTTGCAACTAAAGATTAAGAGAAAAAAAAAGGCAGTGCTTTGATGATGACTAACTATTAAAGTGTGTGTGTGTGCACGCATGTACGCACTGCTGTGTGTCTGTGTGTGTGTGTCTTTAGAGAACATCCCTGTTTAATTCAGCAGCTCAAAAGTAGGTTATCATTAGTTTAATCTTAATATGATCCACTATGTTTATTGGCATTATTGAGCATTCAAAGCAGCTCAGTGCAATCTGCATCATTAAAACTTTTTGGACTTTGCTCTGTTTCTATAAGATCTCATTTAGTCCACTCCCACCAAATGGATCTAGTTACCTTGTAAGCCTATATCTCATCTTAGTAATATATTCATCTCCCTCTCTTCCTTTCTAAAACTACTATACCATAAGAAAGTTCTCAGCTAGCCATACTGGAGTATCAGTTCTCAACAGGTGCTTCAAGAGTTTTGTGCTATTTTTTCACAATTCTCCATGATCTATTAAACAAGAAACCAATCAATGAAATATTTCTTAAAAGACTTATTATGGTTCTCTATATGTATAAATTAGGGGAAAAAGTAATATTTGAAGACAGATTCTGCCTCATTATGATGATAGAGGTGTATTAAGTGCAGCAATTATTAGAATTCTGGCTGATAGAATGGTGTCATTCTCTCACAGAAAAACCCTGAATAATATGAGTCATCATATGAATTATTTATCGTTCACAAAATAATATTTGTTGGCATGCATTGTTAAGAATAATGTTGTCAAATGGAAAATGTCACTCCAGATTTGGCATATTTATTCCTTCAACAACCCTAGCCTGGCAAGGGTGCTTATTACAAGTCAATAATTGAAACAAGTGGCAAGTTGGGGCCACAGGTCCCCAGGGTTCAGAATTTTATATTCTAATGTGTACTCTTCTCTTTCCAGAGAAAGCAATATAGCTCCCACTGGAGCAGACCCTGGTCTGAAGTCGGTAGGAGATCTGGCTAAGTAAGGTGAGTTTTGGGACGTAGCCTTATGTTTCTTTCGCTTAAATAACAACATTCATTGTCTCCACTACCACCTTCTGGTTGCTAATAACCTCAGCCAATAACAGATTTACGTTTTCTAGGAATTTGGTTTTACTGAAACTAACTTGGGCTGTGCAGCCTTCTGTTAGATTGTCTGTAATACTTACTGATTTCTTTATGACCCTTCTCAACAAAACCAAGCCAATGAAACCTTCAACTATTACCTTGACATGGTGAGTAGATGACATCCTTACCAAAGGGAAGAAATTCTCTGCAGAGGTCAAGTAGGCATCACATGTATTGAATAGAATCTGTTTTTTCTACCTCCTACAAAGCAAAAAAAGCCCATGGAAAGTGTACTTACATGCAGTAATGAGGCTAGGTAAGCATTTCCTGGAGGCGCTAGCCAATAAATATCAATTAAATTTAATAAATAATTAGACCTGAGATGTCATATGTTAAAAAATAGCTCATTAGTATATTTTTCTTTTGCTTGTGTTAATCTGATTTTCTGCAGGATAGATTTTACTTCTCTGAGAAATACATTTTTTTATAATTTCTCATATAGTGATGTACCCAAGGCAGGGAATTCTTTTGTAGCAAAGGCAGGAACATAGCCTTTGTATTTTCTAGCACCCAGTAAGATACTGACAAGTAAAAGTCAGGTAATATTTGCACACATGAATAAATAAATAGCTTAGGCAATGTGATTTTTTTTAAATTAATTAATAAACAATTTAATAGATAGAAATGCAAATTTAAGTTATTCTGGACCAGTGGAAGGGGTGTGAAAGATGGAGTCCATTTTTAGTTTGAATTCACATAACGTATAACATCTATATAAAGACAAAAAATGTACATTGTTTTATAGACTTCAGGGTAAATGAATCAAATACCTTAAAATTAATGTGCCAAAAGGCTCAGAAAGTAAAACTTCTCTATGATGTGCTTCATGGAATAATAGTATGTGTTAAGAGATATTTGCGTAAAATGATTAAGTAACAAACATCAATTTGACGTTTTCCTTCATAGATCTTCTCAGAGTTTCTTTTCTACCTGCAAAGTTATTTACCTTTGTTATTTCTCCCATACTTCTCCGTATGGTCAGTGAATGTAGGGACTGTGTTGCTTTGCTCATCTCTCAATATCAGTGCCTAGCACAGTTGGATGTTATTGTCTAATGTTTTGCTTGTAATCAAAATAAGAAAACAATAATGATATCCTGATAAGAAGTATTAAACCTCTGTTCTAAGTGATAAGTAATTACCATAAAGTCCAATAAACATTCAGACATGTATGGTGAAAATACAACAGAAAAGATAAAATCAGAATATTTTTCTAGCTTTGTTACTAACTCACTTTATGCTTTGGACACGATCCTTAATTTCACTGTGTTATTTCTTCATTTGTAAAATATGTAAGGATCATCCATCTGATATCATATGTAAATAGAAAGGAAGTCGTAGAATTTAAATTGAAAGAAGCTGGGAAAGATACTCATCCTGTCTAGCTGAAAGAGTTGTCTGTGAGACTAGCTATGTTTGTGAGACTATGCCCTTTTAGCTTCCATTACTTTAACAAAATTGCCTTCTCAAAGATTTTTTCATTTCCTTAAGGACTGAAATTGTAAGAACCTTACTTATTGTTCTATCTCCAGATGACTATTGTGATGTCAAGAACAAAGTAGACACTCAAAAATATTTGTTAATAGAATTAAGATAAATAATTGCTAAGTTCATTGTTCCTTTATTCACCCCTTTGGTGTCCGTGAAACATTGCTAATGACCTTGACCGCCTCATCCCTCCTGAAATTTCCCTTATTAATAGCATCTGTGATACTACACAGATGTTACATTTGTTTTTGTCTCACCCCTTCATACTTTTCTTCTTGCCTTCTTGATGTCTTGCTCTCTTCTTCCTAATTCCTCAAATACATGTGCTACTCAAGATTCAGTGCATGATTTTCTTCTCTGTATTCTCTACAGGGTTTGTTATTCAATACCTTCCAGTGATTTCCATTAGAAGCATTGTCTAGATAACTTCTGGATTTATGTTTCTGGTCCCATAGTCTAGGGAGATAAATGAATTGCAAAACTTAATTAAAGGAAAGAGGCTACACCTAGAGGGAATTATAGGACCTAGCCAGAATAATTCCATAAAAAATGGAAGAGTACACATGGATTAGATTCTTAGGGTGCTGGTTCAAGGAGTGTTGGATATACACTTGCATAAAAAATAGTACAGTCATTCGCTGCATAATGAGGTTTTGGTCAACTATAGACTGCACATGTGACTGTGGTCTCACAAGATTATAATTCCATATTTTTACCTTACCTTTTCTATGTTTAGATACCCAAACTCTTACCATTGTTTTACAATTGCCACTTCTCAATGCTCAGTGTCACATGTCTAAGAGATTTCTGTATATTTTCAATCATTAGCCCTCAAATACCTTCAAGTCACATTGTCAAAAGTAAACTCATTATTTCTCTTTGCTCCCAAACAAGCCTTCCCATATCTTCGGTAGCCTTCATAATAGCATTATTTATCTTATTAAGCTTTCCTAAATCTTCATAGAAAACCCATCACAATCTGGTCAAATCATTCTGTGGAATTTTGTTATGTGCTTCTTTCCCCATTTCCACTGTCACATCCTAGTTCAGACAACTGATGCTGTCTGGATTACAGCATTCTCATTGGTGTCACGTCTTGAGATTCTCCCTGTGGGCCACCATTACCATGAAAAGAGGGAGAAGGAAACTAGCATGATATGCCCTTGTCATTGTAATTTGTTAGAGAAATACAAATATGAATAGGTCTTCAAGGATTTTACTCTTCAGTGGGAAATAAGTGTACATACAAAAGACTGCAATAAGTTATGGTAAGTCTAAGGCCAAATGATCCATAGCATGTTCTGAGGAAATCACCTAGATTAGAGGCTTTACATGGACTCAGGCTTTTTTCCCACTACTCACACTTCCTGCTACCCAGAAGACAGAAGAGCATTTGTATGAGTCAGTCCAAGTACACAATTCAGGCACAGTGTTTTTCAGCCTGAACAGCCATAAGGAAGGCATCAGTGACCGCTGTTAGAGTTGTCTAAGTGAAATGGGGTTAGGAAAGTCAGAAAGCAGTTGGGTGATTTCTGAGCTAGATTAAAGAAGCAGAGACAAGGACTGTGGTAGATGCCATGATATACTGCTAGATATCCTAACAGAAATATCATCAGAAGAATCTTCCCCCCAGGTTCTGGGAGTTCTGCCAGGAGACCCGCCTCAGCTGTCAAGCCTCTTTATGGATTGCCTCAGATGAAGAAAATTATTTTGCTGAAGGTCATGCTTTCTTCCTGGGGCTGTGCGTATTCAATGTTGATCAATAGAGGGGTGGAAAGGCCTAGTTTCTTCAGCCCAACACGAGCCATTTCAGCTCCAGAACTCCAGAACCTCCCTTAGGGTGACCTGAGGCCTTTGTTGGGGCTGCATCACAATTCAGCTTCTCCTTATGTCCAACCCTGCCTCATGCCCTTTAGCCTTCTTGTTAGTGAATGCCTCCAAAGGAACCAAATCTGTGACCGCTGATACCAGGAGCAGCCCAAGAAACTAAAATGAGGTTTTGGAGCCCTATAAGTGGTGGTAGGTAGAATATTGAACGTCCTTGGAGCATAGTAGCAGGGTGACTGTTAAAACATTGTTTGATGATGAACTGGGATGGTATGAGAATGAAAGGACACACAGTGGCTGGCACAATGTGTCCAGAGTTTGAGGAATATTGGGGAAATAATAACTCTAAGGACAATGGCATTGGGGGACTACTGCTAAGCCCAACTTACGCTCTGGCAAGAAGATAATAAAACACTGATAGTTCTTAATAGGTGACTCAGAACCAAGTGTAGAAACCAAATCAAGGGGATTCTTATCCCCTGCAGTGGGTTGTCAGTGAAAGTTGATGAGGCACAGGAGTCTAAGAGTAAGAGTCAGTAAGCACTACAGAAAACAAAAATTTCAACAAAGCAGGTCTGTTATTCCAAGGTCATGGTAATAATTAATAAAGAATGGGACCCTAACACATGGGACATGGACATTAATGTGGATTCACCTGAAAATCTTGAAACCCTGGATTTCCATGAACCAAATGAGCTTGCAAAAATAGCTTACTCCTCCTTATTAAGATATATCAATCCCCGCCCCCCCACAGACACGCACCATTGATTGAGGATAATTTAGAGGCCTCTTCCCTACAAAATAAAATAAAATGCACTCCCACTCAGTATCTGCTCCCTACTACCTACCCTTTTAGCCACTGAGCCAATCACTTATGTTGAGTCAAAATATAACCCAGTTGGAGAAACTGGGCCTGCAAATAAAGGAAAGAGGCTATATGGCTAGAGGGAATTACAGGACCTAGTCAACATAATTCTATAATTAATTGAAGAGTACACATGGACTAGATTCTTCAGGTGCTGGATCAAGGAGTGTTGGATATACACTCCTTGCATAAAAGAAAGTACAGTCATTAACTGCATAATGAGGTTTTGGTCAACTACAGACTGCACATGTGACAGTGGTCTCATAAGATTATAATGCCATATTTTTACCATACCTTTTCTATGTTTAGATACCCAAACTCTTACCATTGTTTTACAATTGCCTGTGGTATTTGATACAGTAACATGCTGTACACATTTGTGGCCTGGAAGCACTAGTCTACATCATACAGCCTAGATGTGTGGTAGGCTATACCATTGGGGTTTGTGTAAGCACACCCTATGATGTCTGTACAACAATGAAATTGCTCAGAATGTATTCCTGTCATTAAGGAATACAACACATTTCTCAGAGTGTATTCCTGTCATTAAGCAATGTATGACTGCATATTGATATAGGAGCCCTCTCCTAAGATATAAGAGTTGATACCCTGGTAAGTTGTTCAGAGATGGTACAGGCATGCTGAAAGATGGCTTTTCTAAGTGCAGAAAATTCACTATA